CCGTAATTGTATTGCAGGGGTGGCCGCCGACCGGGGTTTTCCAGGCGGGTTCGCTGCAAACCGTGCTCTAATAGAAGGCTGGAGAGGGATATCGTTGTTATGATTGTTTTTGGGAAGGCTGGCATTGTTAGATTTTAGAATCAGGTAAAAAAACAAACACGAAATTGAATGCAAACCAAGCTTCTTTTTGTCTTGTTAATGCCAGAAATATGTATTACCCAGTGCTGTTGCAACATATGCAATACAATTATTTGAATAATCTGGGTGCTGGATTCTGGTATGTTCTGTGAATAACTATGCAGCAATAGTTCTTGAGCATTTCTATTCCCTTTGAAAACACTCGGTCAACATTATCGTTAATTAACGTGATATTTGAACCGGGTTTATCTTGTCAATCAACATACGCCTCAACAATAAGCACGAAAACAGTTTCATTTAATAACATTGGTGATTGTATTAAGCAATGGCTCATTGTTATCTCACTCTAGCACTGTTTGTTTGTTTCTTTCTATGAGAGTGATACCTGTTCGTTATCCGCTAGTGGCATCGGCTCACGATATCATCAGGTAATATCAGTCCACCTCTAAGGCACATGTTACGGCGTCGTTTTCTCCACGTGAACTGCGCTTCTACCGGTACATCTCCTGACAAGGCACCATCAACGGCTCTCAGAAGCCAGATCGGCCTTTGACGACCGTAACAAGGTCTCCCTGACGGCGCAGTCAGAGGGCAACAGTCAGCAACAGTTTTTATCGACCTTATCCAGTAAAAACGGGGTCCGGCGTCACTGTTCAGTGACAGCGGTCACTGGACTGGAATCAGTGGTCAGTGGTCAGCGGTTAGATGGTTAGCTGTTGACCGTCAGCAGTCTTAGTTACACTTGCAAGCGCGATGTCAAGTGTACTTATATCCCTCCTAGCTTTGGATGCTTGCATTGCGGATGCTTGCATGCCGGTACACATTTATGAACTTCATAAGCAACTTTCAATGGCCATTCGCCAATGCTCCCATCTGTGGTAATTCATTTCAAGGCATTTCTTTCTAGCCCAGGATGGGCACGGACTACGGTTCAAACCGAAACAAAAACAAACATTACCCGGCGGAATAGCCATTGTAGTGGTCATTTTAGCCGTGGGTGCGTGCCGCAGGTCAGTTTCACGGCCGCGCCGATCCGAATGCATTGCAGCCGGCACCACGGAGGGCGTGCGCCGAATGGCCGCGCCAGGCCGCAGAGGTAACGGGAAAATACGGCCGATAAGACGCTGTCACTGCCGGAAATTTACGGCCGCCGCCGATACCGAAAGAAACCGGGCCGAACTACGCGCCTCTCGTTCAATGGGCCTGTGGCTCCGCTCTGGAATGGCTTTGTAAGAGGGCCAATACGCCACTGGCACGTCGAAAATAGGTGTGCAGGTGTCGGTGCACCGGGGTTGTGACAGTAATATATTGTGGACGAGCTGCATGAGTTCAAATCACTGGCAAAGCGAGTTTCATTTTCATCTACATAGTTATGATCAGGTTTTGCGTGGGTAAAACGCTCATGCCAAATAACAATGGAAAAGAAATGAAGAAAGCCGCGCCCCTTGCCTGTGTTGCTGTCCACGTGCTATGTCAGCAGCACCTCAATGGTAGTTCAAGGCAGAAATCTTATTTAGAGGGAGAATGGCCGCATTGCTGGTCCCCATTGACAGCTTCCTTCAGATGCCATTCCGCTGCCAATGGAGCTGATGCTGGAAGCTGATCACAAACATTGAAGCATCAAGTGGAACTGAATCGATAAAAACGCTGCAGCCGTCAGAGACGCTGCACATTTGCGATGCTCAGAAGTGCATTGTCGAGACTTTCATTTTCCATTTGATGACATCTTCCAAAGGCAAAGTCACAAGAGGCTACAGAGAAACAGACTGCACCGAGTCTACTCGGCATTTTACTGTTATCGTCCAATGAAAGCAGGTGCCAATCGCAGCAGTGGAGATGATCAATGATGATTTTGATTAGCACCGAAGCAAAAAGTTGTCTGTCCCTTTGAATACATCCAAGATCCATTTAGGCTTGAGTGACGAACAGCGGTGCGTCGGGAGCTCTCTCTCTCTCTCTCTCTCTCTCTCTCTCTCTCTCTCTCTCTCTCTCTCTCTCTCTCTCTCTCTCTCTCTCTCTCTCTCTCTCTCTCTCTCTCTCTCTCTCTCTCTCTCTCTCTCTCTCTCTCTCTCTCTCTCTCTCTCTCTCTCTCTCTCTCTCTCTCTCTCTCTCTCTCTCTCTCTCTCTCTCTGTCTCTCTCTCTCTCTCTCTCTGTCTCTCTGTCTCTCTCTCTCTCTCTGTCTCTCTCTCTCTCTCTCTCTCTCTCTCTCTCTCTCTCTCTCTCTCTCTCTCTCTCTCTCTCTCTCTCTCTCCTTCTCCCTCGGTGAGTCACCTGGCATACATATAGCGAAGCGTCATCACAGTACCTTCCAGTACCATCCATCACAATCTCAACACAGATACCCAGCCTCGGATGTCAGCTGGGCTCCTGCGAGCAGCATACGCCTATCACATCAGAGACGCCCAGCTCGAGAGCGCCATATTCGGCCTGCTGCACACGCGCTATCACTGAGGGGCTGGACTGAGCCGCCAGCACGTGCGAGCCGCCGGACCGGACCGCGCCCCGGCTGGTCGCGCCGCCACCAGACAGCCGCCCTCGGGAGACGCACCATACAGGGGCGCGGAGGCGGCGGCATCGGGCGTCATCGGGCCGCCGCCGGCCCACCGCGCCGCCGCGCCGATGGCCTTGTCCGGAGCGGAGACATCAGACAGCCATCGGAGCGAGTGCGATCGGAGAGGACTGGGAGGGCGCCGGAGGACCAGCTGGTCCGACCTGACCTGGTCCGGCGGGGACCGAGTCAGACCGACCCGCCCCTGCTCAGGGGTAAGGGAGGGAGGAGAAAGCTTACTGCCGAGCGGAAAACAAGCTGATCCCAAAAAGCCGCTGCAGGAGAGCGCGTGTCGAGAATTTATCGCAACCGCGTTCACCGGTCTCTTTTATAGCTCAGAAATAATGAGTCTAGCTGATAACCTACTAGAAGAGAGTTGAAAACAGCATTAGTTAGGTTAGGAAGCAGCTCTTGTCGAGCTGATGCTGTTCGTAGAAAATAATGATCCTTATTATGGAGATTAATTGATTAAATTGTCACATCTTTTTATCCTGAGTTTTTATCAGATGAGATAGGATTCAGATTTGTATTTGCTTAACAATGGTACCACATCATCGTGTCAAGTTAAGTGCAAATAATATAGTATTTCATGCCATTAAAGCTATGAAATAAATCTTCTAAGCCATTACTTTTATTTTAAAGCTATCGAGTCTGCACCTGATATGGGTGTTATGATAAACTTCGCAATGAAACTCAGTCGACCATTACTCTTATTCTGACTTCAAACGACAATGGAAGTCACGAACCATAACCTTTATGAGAGCGAGTCACAAATGATTGCTCCTTTCGTCACTGAGCAATGATATAAATATTTTGACACGCAAGAGGCACTAAAATCTATTCGCGCGCGGAGTCCGTTTATGTAGTTGCTTGAACTCTGGCGGGGCACTATAACTTGAACCCAGCAGTGCCACTCCCATGTAGTAAGGCTGGCTGCAGGTGACTGCATGGGATCCCTCGACGGCATGGCGATCGCTTCGACACCTTGAATGCAAACGAGTTGACTGGATGGTAGTATGTTGAATAATTTCATGTGACTAACTTACACACTCAATGTGACACTTCAACGACAGCGACAAGGGTATGTGACGCCTGTGAGTGACAAGTGCATGAATACTACTACGCCTTGTAGTGAAAATGTGACGGCGCTGTACGGCCTAACGAGATGAGCGTCGCTTGCCAACGTTGAAACGGTCCTGGTCACCTATTTAATTTAGTCAGCAGTGCACGCCTGTTAAATGACAGATAGTGCGCGAGCACGGTGCGTGTGATACGTGTGATCCATTTGGAGGTACCCACACCGGCGGCGTCTCGATGACGCGCCAATTAGTCGGGTACCGCGGCGGAGCCCGCCCCCGCCCCGACGGCGGTCCGCTGATGTCACCTGTTTACGGCCCGCTGCCAGCGCCGGCAGCCGTCCCCGGTCGGCAGATAGTGCCCGTAAACGGCCCCTCTGACGGCCCGATAAGCGCTCACACACACACCGAGCCGCGAAAATATATACCGGCCTGGTTAACACGACCACCTGATAAACGTAAACAGACATTCGATCCGACCGCGAGATTGGGCGCAGTATGGATGAATGCCGAGGCTTTCATTTAAAAGTAAAAAATGTCCGCCAGTTATTGCAGGAATGTTGCTGCCTCCCTTCATTAAGAAGGCACCCGTGCTGGCCATGACATTTTTACTAGAATAGTGACAGAATCGCCGACATTCGATGAGTTCAGCGCTCGACTCGGTGTTTACGACCGTCCGCATCATTAGCCCTGATTAGGAGAGCAATCACTGGATAACGTACGGTCAATATTCACGGCCCAGTCTATAACTCGAAGTTAAACAGGCTCAACCATGTCAAACATGCTCCATCAGCTTTGTTCAGTGTCCATAGCAGCCGCCATGGACTGTCAGACTAAAGGATTTAGCTGGGAAGATGACTATCAACTGACGACTCACTTCAAGTTCGCTAAAGGCCGACACTATCGCTCCGTAAATCCTTCACCAGCACGCTGGTCGCTGGCGTCACCATTGTTTCTCGGCACGCCCGCGCCACTGACCGACGATTAATAAGACATCACCATGACCGAGTTATGTACGGCGAGGATTCGAGGGATTAAATTCGAGACAATCGCTGCCCGGAGCTGTATCTTTCACGGCACGGGGTGAGCTACCGAGTGATGCGGTTTTCTCGATATAAATTGAGCTCGAAACTCATCTCATGCAGACAGACAGGTCAGCAGGATGACAGCCACTGGCCGTGTCTATCCTTCAATGACCTCCCCCTCCCCTCCCCTCCCGGTCCCGAGCTCTACTCACAACGGTGAGCGCGGCGGCGCCCGACTCCGGCTGGGCGACCATCTCGCGCAGTGTGACCGGCGTGTGGATGGCCCCCTGGTCGTGGCAGTTGACGTAGAGCTGCACGCGCGCCGACGGCTGCTCCTGGTTCACCCGCAGCACCATCGAGTGGATCACGTTGTGCAGTCGCACCGTGTCCACCGACCAGTGCTGGGTGCGGATCCGACCCAGCTCCATGGTCTGGAGGATCACTGCCGAACAGGGGCGAGCGGAGGGTGGTGAAGTGGTCAGTGGCACTGCCGGACAGGGGCGAGCACGGGGTGGTGAAGTGGTCAGTGTCACTGCCGGACAAATGCGAGCACGGGGTGGTCAAATGGTCAGTGGCACTGCCGGACTGCACTCAAAACTTTTTTACTACCTCCTGGAGAGTTCATTTTCATCAAACCCGCAAGATAATAGTATATTGAAAGGGTAACTCGCTGCTACCATTATGTGCATAGTAACGGTACGTGGTTAATATGAACTTATTCGCCAGCGAAGAGTATAATTACCATGTAAATATCAATATTACTCTCGCGATCCAGAACATCACGAAAACTCTTTCCTCCTGGGTATCGTGACTCGGGTACAGATAGTCGTTTCATGCGTGGATCTTGTTTACCCTCGTGAAGATGATATTTGAAATGGAAACAATCAGCCAATCAGAAACGAGATCGGCCGTTTGCGGTTTGAAGGCCGCGCGCATCTGTCAGTTTTCGGCCGTTGGTCTCCGAGAGCGGATGTGAGCAGTGTCGGTGCCGCGCGGCGTGGCCGTTGGTGATTGTGCTTGTGTGTTGTTCATCGCCTATAGAGCATCTGTGGACATTTTATTGTAAGTACCGATGTGCTAGAGCATTGCGTGCCGTTGAGTGGTGCTAATTTGACCTGGTTAACAGGACCCCGTGCACGGCCACGTGGCCTAGTGTTGTGAGTACGTACATTAATTTTGTTGTGATGCTACAAGTTTATGCATTTTGTTGGTGACTTTGAAAAAGCCTTGCACTGTAGTGATCCAGTCTCATTATCTCACGCAGACGGGCGACCACCCAGGAACGCCGTCGCTCACTTCAAATATTGTGCGCTCTGCCTAATCCAATATGAGGGCGCTGAATGTTTTGTATTCATATTCAACTTGCATTCAAGTTGTATCGTGCTGTTTATTTACCGCTTGTGCATTGCTGAACGCTTTCTATAAATTTGTATGAATAAGTGAAGAGTCTCACAATGTTCATGGTTGGTGTGCCCCTCGTATTGTTTGTACGGAAGCCAAATATACCTACATTGTTGCTCTTGAAACATTTCTTTTAGCTGGTGAGCTCCGGTTAACAGAAGCTTCGTGAAGCTTCTGAAGGAAGTGTCTGTGGGTCTGTTACCATCCTCTGGGGGGTTTACCCTAAAGGAAAGAGTAAACATTAACATGTGACAAAGGGTAGGCCATAAGAATATACTCTCTGTAGGAGGGTAAAGCACAGAGTAGATGATGCGTTACTCCCTAAAAAAGGGTTCCGTTAAAGATTTACCCTTTCAAAGAGTGTAACCCAAAAAATGTTACACTCTAGACAAGAGTAAATCAAAAGAGTTTACCATTCAGAAGATGGTAAAAAACGTCTGTGTGTCATGTTACCCCTCCCTGGCGAGTTTACTCTTCATGAAAGAGTAAAATTTACCATCTGGAAGGTGGTAAAAAACGTCTGTGTGTCAAGCTACCATGCTATGGCGGGTTTACCCTTCAGAAAATGGTAAAAAAGTTTTCAGTGTGGGGCGAGCGGAGGGTGGTGAAGTGGTCAGTGGCACTGCCGGACAAATCGAGCAGAGGAGGGTGGTGAAGTGGTCAGTGGCACTGCCGGACTGGGGCGAGCAAGGGGCGGTCAAATGGTCAGTGGCACTGCCGGACAGGGGGAGCACGGGTTGGTCAAATGGTCAGTGGCACTGCCGGACGGGGGTGAACAGAGAGTGGTTAACTAGCCATTGGCACTGCCGTAGGATTGGTGCGTGCATGGGTAGGAGTCTTGGGATTTGAGAGCACTATTGGATGAGTCAATGTTCTTTGAAGGAGCGCAAATAACACAATGGACAGTGTTCTTTGTACACTGTCTCAAACGCGCCGCATGTTTCCTAAAACGTCCAAACGATGACGCTAGCATACCAAGTACCTAATGGCTGGTGTGTCCGATCTCGGGACTTTATTTGTGTTTCCTGTGGGTGTTTGGCCTGCGTGCTCCTGGCGTGTTTCTGACTAGCTGACGTCACCAGGATGTAATCCGTCCCCACGCGGTTTTAGTGGAGTGGGCGGTGGTGACCCCCGCTCGGCCCGACCCGCCCCGGAGGACAGCAGTCGCCACTCGGACTATACCATCGGCACGCCCCCGCCGTCGCCAGGACGGCCCTCGCAACGGCGGGCGTGCTTACGTCAATGAACAACCAACAGCTGGCAGTGATATATGGGGGTAGCTTTCATCACCTATTTACGCTTTGCGCTATCTTTGTTTTAGATGTAGAATGGTTTTCACCCCCATGTGGTGGGTATGTTTGCAAGAGTTGTTTTACGTGAACTCTATCTCTTCAATTTACTACTTGCGTCCTGTCGATGCCAAATTTGGTTTTGTTAGTAGACACACTGTAGTCATTCCGTCAGTATACGCCAGCAATCCTTCAATATCCCGTCCAGATGTTGTCGGTGGAGACAGCTCAGCCATCACCCCGAGGTCCGCTCAATAGCCCATCCATTTTCTGACCGAGAGCCGTCGGCGCTATGTTTTTGAAATAACGCAGAGACGAGCGGCTATACCAATCCGCCTAGCGAGTCCCAGGCCGGATATTCTACAGCTCGCTTCTCCGTAAGCTGTGGCTTGCGGCTGCGTAGCCAATAAGGAAATGGAGAATAACATACATCCACCGAAAGGCAGCGGCAATAATCTACATTACTCTGTTACATAAGGCTGAACTCTGTTCATTACATTACTCCCACCATATCCACTGTGTGATGAGGGACTGACCGCGGGGTGTATTACCTTTGTGCATCTTCCTGTCGATGATGATGGACATCTTGTTCCTGCTTCCGGTGACGTCCAGCTCCACCAGCGTCTGCGGGTGGGTCCTGGCGAACCGCTTCGGCCTGATCTTGGTGAGCACGACGAAAAACTCGTCGTTGCTGACATGCCGCTGCAGGTCTTGTGTCAACGCTGCAACGGAACGGAGACGAGCTCAGTGTCATTGAACGGATCGGTTACGCGCACGCTGACATCTGGTGACCTCACACCAGCTGACATGTCATGCACATTCCTAACTGTCGCGATAATTGCGCGCAAATAGTTATATTAACGGGACTCTGTGATGTCATAGCGGAAACAGGAGCTGGCATTTTCACTTGGGTGGGCTATAATTTGGTTTGATCATAGTGATTGACAGCATCCGGTCCGCCGACCGAGCGCCATCTTATTGGAAGTTGCTTTACGTCAGACGTAACAGCAAAGCATAAGCCTGCAGGAGCAGGATCGCATTCGCGATACAAGTAAGTGAACGGCACATTTTAGGTTTTTTTACGTTCATTGTATTTCTAGCAATCCATCAAAGAGGACTAAGACGAATGGAATGGACCGGGAGAGAACGAGGTAAACAATGTCTGAATTTAGAAAGAGTTTTCTCAAAACTGTTATGTCGTTCTCTGGTTAATTCCTTTTGCCCGCTATTGAGTTATTTATTATTGATTATTCCGCTATTGATACCAATGCCCTCTATTGAGTATCAATCACTTATATTCAGGGATGCGGAGCCGTGAAAATTTCAGACGGCTCCGGCTCCGGCTCCGGAGAAAAATCGGCTCCATCTCCGGCTCTGGCTCCGGGTGAAATGTCATGGCGGCTCCGGCTCCGGCTCCGGCTCTGACTCTGACTCAGTACATCCCCTATGCGCAGGGATGCGGAGCCGTGGAAATTTCAGACAGCTCCGGCTCCGGCTCCGGGTGAAATGTCATGGCGGCTCCGGCTCCGGCTCCGACTCCGGCTCCCGGCAAAATGTGCCGGCTCCGGCGGCTCTGGCTCCAGCTCCGGCTCCGGCTCCGCGCCCCTGCTTATATTTTATTATTATCATTATTTGCTGCGGTAGAGAAGTTATTGATATATCGCTATATATCGGATCGTTATACAGCATTTGTCGTAACAGTTCATTCCGGAAATAAGGTCTCACATCCAACCGATGGGATGCGGCCACGGATTTTCTCCACCAACCCGAAAAACGGCGACAGAAGCAACCAGTCGCATCTGAATATCACCGCGTCAAAGCACGCTGGTGACTCTAGTCGTGTGCAGTGCAGCGATCGCCTCCTCCACAGATAGATGGCTCTGCGAGGTCGGTCGTCACCGGGACTTGCCTGGCGCGCGTGCTATCCACCTCCCAGCCCGTCACCTTTCTGTCAGTCACCTCGAATGAGGGGTTTAAGATGACTTTTTAACACAGCTGGCCGACCGCAAGATCAATCCAGATCGCCTGTGAAGGACTCAGCGTCTTGTCTCACCATAGCTTCATACCTGCGAAACTCGGCACGGCTCAACTGATCTCCATTCGGCTAAGCTCCGAGCACCTTCGGCAATATTTGGTGGCGGTGGCGCGCGCCCCGATCAGGAATTTGAGGAATGGCGATATCGCTCCATCACCGCCGCCGGACCGAAAAGACGCGCTGTTGTGCCAGAAAGCACGGCGCGCTGTGAACGATTTTACAGACTTCCGGCGCAGGTAGGGCCAGTCTTTATCGCTCGCCGTGAACTCGTTACCAGACACGTTCCTGATTTCAGTAGCTTCCCAGCAGTCGCTTAGTTTACCGCAGCTTTGGGCGGGTCAGCTCGAGGTTAAGCCTTGCCTGGAACAGCAGCTGTGACCTCTGATCGACCTCGGTGGACGGCTCTGCTCCCGGCGACCCCTCTGACTCCGATAAAGGCGGGCCGTTTGGCGACAACCAGGGCGGAGCTGAGCTCCGGAGAGCAGCGACCGCGCCAGGCGGCGGTCTGCCCATCTCATCGCGATGCCCGCCGATACACGGACTCTGCAGAGGCCGTGGGCAGAGCGAGGGCGCGACCAACAGGCGACACAATCTGCCGAGCGGCCCACCGCCCTCTGCTCACAGGCATCACTCATCGCTCACCTCCCACCGCTCACCGCTCACCTCCCACCGCTCACCAGTCACCATCCACCGCTCACCGCTTACCTCCCGCCGCTCACAGTCCACCATCCACCGCTTACAGTCAACAGTTCAATGTCCATCGTTCACCGTCAACCATCCACCGTCCACCGTCCTCCGATCACAGTCCACCGTCTACAGTCCACAGTCCATCGCCAACAGCTTACAGCGCACCACCCAAATTCCACCACCCTCAGGCCGAAGTGCACAGTCTACAGTCTACAGTCTACAGTCCACCGTCTGCCGTCCGCCGTCCAACGCCCACTGTCCATTGTCCACCGTCCAACACAAGCCACCTAGCTACCCCATTCGCTGACAAGTAGCTGCTGCCAGTAATGAGATTCGCAGACGCGGATTTCTCTGCAGAGTCACGGCTCACTGTTGATCTCTGACCGTCGAATCCCACCAGCCACCGATTTCTCACCACACGGTAGCCGGAAACCTGCATCGTGGTCTGAGCCTTTGTGGCGCCGGGCGTCTGGGCATTGTGGTGTGCTGGCAGTCGATACTGCCGGGATCCGGTCTGCCTTGCTCGGGATTCTGAGCCGAGCCGTCCATGCCTTGACGGCTGACGTCGGCGGCACTAATCCGCCGGCCCGCGGTACGATCCCATAACCTCCGGTAGGCAGGGCAGGCGAGCCATTGAGCCGCCATCGGGCGCCGTTCACGGCCGGGGGTCCGGACGGGTGAGGTCGTTTGGCACGCCCCACGGGGAGACTCGTGACCTGATCCCGGTGGGGCGCGCTGGGAGGGCCACCGTGCACCGTGAGGAGCGCTCACAGCCTTCAGGTAAGAGCGCTCACCTCCTTCAGGTGTGAGGCGCGCTCACATTCAGATGTGAGAAGTGCTCACTCCCTTTGAGTGTGGGGAGCTCACAGTGCCAGTAATCCTGTCAGCTGTGAGATTCCCCCAGCGCGCAGGTGGCTGCCCTGGGTGTTAACACTGGGTGAGGAGAGAAGCTCCTTGCTCTTCACCTTATAATGTCAGACGAGTAATATCACTTTACTAATGGGTAAAAGGTAGTTTATACTGTGTGTATTGTGCAGCACTGTGAAAAGCTGGATCGGAAAACAGTCATCGAATCATTGTCTGGACATATTCGAGAACATCCACAGAATCGGAGTCACTCAGTAAATATCATGGTGGAAGGATGTAAGCTTCAGTAAGCTACTTATCGCTGCATATATGATATATAAATGTAAAAAGGCTGTAATGTGCAAATGGATCCTGCGAATAACAACGGTGGCCCGAAGAGCTTTGTCAGTGCTGCACACTGAGGCTTATCGCTAAATCTTACCAGAGAGAAAAGGTCGCAATGCTGTAATGTATGTAATCTCAAGAACGTTGAAGTATACAGACAGAGGAAATGTTCTGAAGCACGATTGTGATTATGTAGGTATTGTATCAGATTCATCCATATATCAAATGACATCATTACTTTGAGGATCATTGCTTAGTGTGTAGCTTTCGCCATTTATTTTATTATAGGTATTCTGATGAGGGCTTAGCGGAGTGCGACGTTAGCCAGCAAACTAGCTCGTAAACAAATCAGAGCTGTGCTGGGTGTTCTTGGACGTCAAACTGCAATGTCTCACTTGATGCTTCTTCGTTTTGCGTTGATACAAGCAGCAAGGTCCATTGATCTGTCCATACACCAAATGTCATTGAATCTCCCTCCACCTGTTCAGTTTTCATTCCTCGCTCCGCCCTCCAATCACTCTGTCATTCCCATCCAGTGCGCCCGTCCATCATCTCAGTTCCGGTTCTCTGCACCAGCCGCGGTGTCTGTAGCTCTCCGCTCTGCCCCACCCACCCCACCTGTCTACAGCTCTCTCCCCCGTGCCTCTCCGTCAGTCTACATCTCCACACCTGCCCCCTGGAATCACACCTCCGTCCCACCTGACTGAACTTCTCACACCACCCCGCCTCGCTCTCATCCTCTACCCGCTCCTCTCTCTCGAGCCCTCCCCTCCACAGCTGCCTCCATCTCTCACTCCGCCCCGCCCCCTCCCGTCCTGTGGCTGCGCCTCATTGTTCTCTGCATTAATTGCAAGGCCACGCCGAGTGGCGAGCCGGCTGTAATTGGCGACCCAGCCACCGACCGCCGACCGGCTGATTGCCGCTCTGAAGACAGACATCCGAGCTGGGTGCTGACGGAGCTGCGGGCTCCTCCCCCTCCCCTCCCCTCCCCTTCCCTGCAGCTGAGGCAGGGCGACGCGGTGCTCCACCCGACCCCGACCCCGCCTCCGTCCCCTGACGAGTATTGAGGAGCTAGAGAGTCACCATGGATTATTTTGTGTAGGCCCGAAGAAAAGAAAAGAAAACACTTGCGTTAGGATCAAACAGGAAATAAATTAATTCATTACGAGGCTTGGCCGTCCTCATGTCAGCATTGCCATATGAGCCTTAACCCTATTCCTGGCGGGGGGGGGGCCTCAGGAGCCCCCCCTGAGGTTTTTTGGTTATATCTCCCAAACACGTTGAGCTAGGAAGCTCAAATTTTCTGACTTTTCTTAAAAGGCTTCTACGCAACATGTCTGAAAATTTTGAGTTGATCTGACCTCAGGTCAGGTCACCAGAGGCGGTTTGGTGACGCTACCTCAGAAAAGTTTGCAATCACGCCAGAGCTAGAGTTTTTGACCGATCAATTTCTTCTCTTCAGGGTTTAGTTAGGGTACCAGTATGTGCAATTTGTATATCTCGGAATTTTGATATCGGTGACCTAAGGTCAGGTCAATTTCGCGACCTCCCCATTATAAGTCAATGGGGGAAAAATCAACTCCCTGTTTTTACCACTAAAACGGGTCGGAATGGCCCCATATACGATACATGACTTCATATACGATCAACCTTCACTACCTTGAGGTCTGTTTTGCTGTTGGGCAGCTGTGAGGTCATGTGACGTCATCAAAGGTCACCAAAGGTTTTTGGCCAATAACTCCGTACAGGAACAAGATACAGACGCGTGGATGGTCTCATTGTGTTCAGCTCGTCAAGACGCATCGAATG